GGTACGAATGGTAAGAGTATTCAGGCCTCATACAGATGAAGACACAGAGGCACAGGGATACCGCTTGTTACTTCAACATACCTTGCCTAATGTCAACAGATCGCCCGCAATATTGACTGTTTCATAAAAACGAGAGTAATGTCACGATTCACCAATTGAATTCCTCAGACACGAGTGGTATAACAAGATTACCAATGGTTCGATCGGTACGAATGGTAAGAGTATTCAAGCGTCATACAGATGAAGACACAGAGGCACAGGGATACCGTTTGTAACTTCAAACATACCTCGTCCAATGTCAATCGATCGCCCGTAATATTGACTGTTTCATAGCAACGAGAGAAAGGTCATGATTCACCAATCGAATTCCTTCTATACGAGTGGTATATGAAGATTACCAATGGTTCGATCGGGACGAATGGTAAGACTATTCAGGCCTCATACAGACGAATGCACAGAGGCACAGGGATACCGTTTCCTTTCAGATTGAACGAGARAAGGAGGCCTTCAATCCATGACGAATGGTCCCGATGGAACGATTGGTGAATCTGTTCCCATATTTCTTTGCTGTTTCAATGCTATGGGATTAAAAGTTGAATCTGAAAGTAGAATGCGTGACAGCCTCAGATTGTTCGAACAACACATCGCCGGCAATAATTACTGNATTCCTCAGACACGAGTGGTATAACAAGATTACCAATGGTTCGATCGGTACGAATGGTAAGAGTATTCAAGCGTCATACAGATGAAGACACAGAGGCACAGGGATACCGTTTGTAACTTCAAACATACCTCGTCCAATGTCAATCGATCGCCCGTAATATTGACTGTTTCATAGCAACGAGAGAAAGGTCATGATTCACCAATCGAATTCCTTCTATACGAGTGGTATATGAAGATTACCAATGGTTCGATCGGGACGAATGGTAAGACTATTCAGGCCTCATACAGATGAATGCACAGAGGCACAGGGATACCGTTTCCTTTCAGATTGAACGAGAGAAGGAGGCCTTCAATCCATGACGAATGGTCCCGATGGAACGATTGGTGAATCTGTTCCCATATTTCTTTGCTGTTTCAATGCTATGGGATTAAAAGTTGAATCTGAAAGTGGAATGCGTGACACCCTCAGATTGTTCGAACAACACATCGCCGGCAATAATTACTGTTTCATAGCAACGACAGTAAGGTAATGATTCACCAATCGAATTCCTTCTATACGAGTGGTATAAGAACATTACCAATGGTTCGATCGGTACGAATGGTAAGACTATTCAGGCCTCATACAGATGACTGCACAGAGGCACAGGGATACCGTTTGTCACTCAAACATTCCTTGCGTAATGCCAACACATCGCCCGCAATATTCACTGTTTCATAGCAACGAGAGTAAGGTAAGCATTCACCAATCGAATTCCTTCTATACGAGTGGTATATGAAGATTACCAATGGTTC